TAGAATTTCGCTCTTGCGGTTTCAACTGTAGAGAGACTCCGCGAGACGTTCCTCGGCAGCAGTCGTAAAACCAAAAAAAGCAATACCAGTGTGCATGTGCACGTGCGCGTGCCCGTCCGATTGAGCGATGGTATGCCGTGCATCCACGGCGAAAAACTGGATGAAAACCAACAGAAACAGGGCACTAACTGTGCACATAGGTCGCGTGAATGGCTTATGCAAATGTCAATGTCGCACCGCGAACACCACAAACGACTTTTTCATGGCGCGCCGCTTTTAAAACGTAATTCTCATCATTACATCGCGGAAATATTTACGCGCGCCACTGTCTCCACCCAGCTGCCTTTGGCCAAAGGTGTTTGCGAGTTTTATTTCACTTTGTCTTCGCATTGCGCAGCGTTTGCTCCTTGTTTTTGTTCGTGGTCTTCACACTTCCGCCTTCTTCGAAGAAGGCGCAAGTGTCGAGAGTCCCTGCGCTAACCCCGCCGACGGCTAAGTCTTATAAACAGCCGGATTTACGTCGCACTTAAGGAAAATTTACGGCCCGCTTCGTCGGCGCTTCCCATGTAGAAGATCGAACGTTAGACAACGCTGGACAACATTAGACGTCGTTACGACGATTACAAAGGAAATTGAACATTGATGTGCGTCGACAATTTATTTCCGAAATTAATAATAATACAATTAATTGTTACGATACACGGAAACACAACTAACTACATCATGCAGATAGAATCTAAACGAGAGGTTTGCGCATGAAAAAAATTCAATTAGCGGTTATTACGGTTCGTTGATGAGTGGAGAGTAAACATGCACAGTTTATTATATATCATGCTTATGTTAGAACAGGATTAGTATTGTCATCGATGCTAAACAATCGTTTCGATCAATGCAATGATTGATTGCATTATTCAGCAAAAAGTCAATCGATTGTTATCAACATCAACATCAAAGGAGTGCATTGTGCTGTGTTTACAAACAAGGAAATAGAATACGCATTATCAATGTTCAGTGATTGATTAGTTAATCAATTACAAAAATATATTGCGTGAAAAATATTAGTAGAACATGCGTCATCATATAAATTAATAATAATTAAAGTTAACGATACATGCGCAAATCGCTAAACTAAAACTAAAATCGTTTATTATATATTAAATGCATGTGTTATATGTCTTTTGGTAATTTTAGGAATAATAGCAGGCAACACGCAGCACGAGTTGATCGTTTACAGTTTAATTATCAGCTCCTAGAAGATCGTCTTAATTTGGCATCCTCGAGGCACTTCGAAACATTGCATTCTTTGCTCATTAACTCTGCAGAATGTCATTAAACATGAACATGAACCATTAACTAAAATTCCTTGCCACAAACCACATAACACGATCTTAATCAATAAGCCATTCAATTCGTTTATAAATAAGATAATCGTAAACACATTGCCCCTGGAGTGCAATACAGGTAATTTTAATTTATGACTGCAAGTGTAATTTTTTTCATTCTCCAACGTCTAATTTCTTTAATTTTCTTTATGGTGTGCGTGCGTTTCTCTTGACCGACGGGAGCTGAGCGCTGGCGAGATGTAGGACTTTTCAATTAAAGCGCGATGCACACATTAACGAGTCAATTAACGCAACGAAATGTACGAATTGCCTAGATTCCTTCGTGCGTTTTCACGTGGTTGCGTTTGTTGGCGCCGTGAGCGAAACAAAAAACCCAACACAACAGGAAAGCGCGAACATCGCATTCCTGCCAGCACGGTGCACCGCGAACGGCATCCGTGATTTATTTAATTACAGCCAATTTAATTTTAAGTCGTAAACTCATACAATTAATAAATCACCTGCGTTTTTTGAGGTTGAAGAATTTTCATAAAACAATTAGGCTGCGAAAATCCATTCGTGGGAAAATGTTTAAAAGTTAAACAAAGTTAAAAATATATACGAATGGAAGAAATCAATCAGTAAACAAACAACAGCTGTAAATGATCACAGTCGATAATTGTAGTCTAACTCAAGCGTTTAGTTATAATTTCCGGCGTGCGAAAAAGTTTAGTCAAAACACGGTTGGGTGTTGATAAATGGCGCGTTCACTCCGTACCATTTCGACCCGATTAAGTCGCGGCTGATGCAGATAAATGATGAATAATTAAGGTCAGCCGACCGACGTAGACTAGTTCGGTGTGAAATAATTGATCGGAATATCAATTTCGCACGCGGCGCGCACAAAACGCCAAAAGTTCGCGACGCGGTGTTAATTTCATTCCAGCGCTGTGAATAATTCAATTCTGCACGTTTCATTAGCTACAAAATCAAAGTACAAAGTTTAGGATAACAGAGAAATGTTTATATAGCTACGGTTGAAATTTATGCGTGCGGTGTTATTGATTTTTTCTCTTTTGTACTTCGTGTGTTTGAAAAGTGTTTGATGAACCTAATTACAACATTTCAAGAATCGCCCACAGTGCTCTCATTTTCCTCGGAAGCGGAGAAGTCGCACACGCGGCGCGTGCACGTCGTGCATACAAATTGTGCCTTTCTTTGCGCACTGAGGTGTAATAAGTGGTAACACGACAGCTTAAATAACCAACGCATTCTTGGACAATTCACATGCAAACAAATTAGAGTACTTCTTCATTTACCTACAGCACACTTGATTAAAATAATGCTGGTGGTGTTTAAGTAATTTTTAAACTAAAATTAAATGCAGTTTTGCTAGTTTTGTGAAATTTAACGTAATAATAATTATAAAACTGTATTTGATTTTTCCATGATCAAAAAATAGCAAAATTTAATGGAATACGAGTTTCCAAGATGGAAATTTGCAATAATTAACGTTTTTCGGTGTTTTCTGATTTCAAATGCCCATAACTTTAAAAGGAATAGCGGATCTGTACCTCTAAAGTTTCTTTTTAATTAAAAATTATATATCAGTAGCAAAAATCCCTGCGGAACAATTTATACGGCAGTAATATTTCCCATACCGCAATAATTCCTTTCATGGAGAAATAGAAATAGAAACAAGATGTAAAAGAAGTGGAAGTGACCGTTAATGTAAATTTTAATTGCGTTTTTTAGCAGACCTACAAATCTCAAAACTGCATCCTTAATTTAATCAACCATTTTCGCTAAAAACTGACAATTCAATAACATATATCTTAAATGTTGGTCATATTAAAGTGTGAAGAGCATACTTACTAATTATTTATCTTTGTAAGTAGACAAAACACAAGTAGATACGTGCAGCACACTTTTGGGCTGACATTAAAGTAGGCAAAGTGCAGCTGCCGGGTCAATGCAGTGACCTCCTTCAAGGTCAGCTCTTCGCCAGCGGCGCGGTTTCCTTTTTGTCATCCATCCATCGACGGCGTCTAATGCGGCACACTCGCTGCCCGCCAGCATTCGAAAATCTCGACGAAAAAAGCGCGAGCGTTTTGAAGCAATGGAAATTTATGATTGTGTTCAGCGTCGCCATGCATGCACACAACGTATCGATTAGGCCCGATAGACGATAGTTGCGTGCGGTGCGCATCTAGAGTCGATAAATTGCACGCACACGCACGCTGGCTGCGAGGAAGATCCCAAGAAGATAAAACTATGTCGGTCGTGAAAAGTAAATTTCTCCTTTCTCGCGATGGTGCCGATCGGGCACAGCGCTGAGGTCGCGTTTGAAGTGCTGAATGTAAAATGCACAATGCACAATTATATTTAGATGCATTTAATTGTTTTCTTTGCGCAAAACCAAAGATGTAATTAAGGTTTTCATTACATTTGTAGCAAGAAGAGCTCATTACATGCACGTTTGTACATTTTCTCTTTCGACGGTTTGTTTACGCTTTGCGGATATGTATTGTCACAATGTGCAAATGAGGTTTATAGGATGAACATAATCGTGACGATTACACATCATAAACCACAATAAGGACTACATCTTATAAATATAATGAATCGTTTTACTAGAATTGCACTATAACAGCTCGTAAATTCATGGAAGTGTGAATTGACTCTTTATAAAATAAAATATTATAATATAAAATGCTGCACCTTAAAATTTTATTAGTTATCGATATTAATATCAATATTTAATAAAAAAAATTTAAATTGACTGATCTATTTTCAATCTATTGCAACATTTATTCACAATCTTCGAATAGAAAATCGATGCATGTGCGCTTTGTGTAAATTCTGAGGTGAAGATTTAACGAATAGCTCGCTGGGTAATTCTCCGATGAATAAAATGATAAATTACATTGAATAATGAATAATAATACATATCCGAAGGTGCGCGCGCTCTGGCGGTAATACAATATAAATCTATATAATATCGAATATTCAGCACTCTCGGTCAAATTACGGCGCACTCTCTTTCCTTTCTACCTCGTCTTGACTCTTGAGGCAGGCAGGCAGGATAAAGCTTCCGTGAGAGCCTCCTTCTTCATCTCCTCTTTTACGTTTAGTCTTACTATTTACGACGCCCTAGTATTAATTCTTTTTAGTCTAAATTACGTACTAAACGGAAAACACTGACGTATATGAAAAAAACTTTACCTGTGGTTTTTTTCAAGTTTAAATTGAGAGTGATTTAAAATGAAAGTAAGGTAGCCATAAAAATACCCACTAGATATTTGCTGAAATTGCGTAATTACACGGTTGATTAAAAGTAAACAGCCGTTAAAACAATGCAGATGGACAGCGCTGAGCGAAAAGCTTTTGTACCTTATAACTTTTTCGCTGTCGTTGCACCAAAATAACTGTTTGCCAAGTTAACGTCGAACATTAAATTGGACCGAATACATAAAGAAATTAATTAAAACTTAAGAGTGCAAGAAGCGTTCGACGTGGCGAGCGCTCGTAAACTTTAAAATCTTGACATTTTCCGTTCATAAAAAATGCTGAGCCCCAAAAAATGAAACAATAAAATTTATAAAATATTAATTAAATTTAAATTGTTGAGTTATTTAATTATTTAGAATGACGCAGTAAAATATAAATATTCAGTAATAATATTTTAATATTTAATTAAATTCCTCATTATTATCAATAATACATTTTTTTTGTTTGGATGCATTTGATACAAGTAAGTTACATCCGTGTTTAGTTTATAATTATTGTAACTCATACCATAAATGACAATAATTTAATCAAATGTTTAAAATTCTCAATTCATCTATACCTACATACAAATATTAAACATTATCGATCAATCTCATAGAATTAATGTAAATCATTAATAAATCTGTGCTTGACATGATGGTTTCGGATGATTTACAATTTGTTTTAAGCATTTCAATTAATATATACTTTTTGAAGGATGGAACCGTGTGTTTTGTAGTTTCCAATTAGCCTCAGTTAATATTTATGTTTCCATGCGAGTGCGGCGCTAATCAAATTTATTAGTGCATTGCGGACATCCATACTGATATCTGCAAATTTAAATAGGCTTTTATCACCGATGCGCGCCGGAAAATTGCATTTCTAATTTGATTTTGCGCCGCGCCTCACCTCAGCACGCGACACGCATTCATTTAAACGTGCAAAAAATACCAATTAGGTATAATTAAAATGTGCGTAATGAAATTCGAACTAAAAAAATTCCATTCGCATTCGCAAATTATTAATATTTGAAACAATTTGCAATAGTATATTCAAATTGTAAACACATAACATTTTTCATTACATTCCTCGTACAACGGGCCGAAAAAAAATACACCAAACACCATTTTCTCCCCGTCGTTGAAAACAATAACACATTAGTTTGTTTCTCTGACTGTTTGTTTTACTTTTAATTTCATTATTATAAATACATTACATTTAGGGGCGTTGTGAAACAATTATATTGCGATTTTTTAAAATTTATTCCGGGTACGTGTTTAGGGTGTTTTATATGATGGATAAGTGTACATATCTACATGAAGTACATTCAACACGCTAGACTACACCAATCAAACGAAGTTTCACTTCAGTATGATCAAGTAAATGATTAAAAATCACGCTTATTGCGTGATGCAGCACCTGAACACACTAACTGCTATACAATGTATGTTGGGTTGCATACAGTGCGTGTCAGGTTGCCTAGGGTCACCGTGAACTATTACCCGTTTCGCCCGAACGATGTGTTACTTAAGACTGTTTGTCAACAACAAGAAGCATTCGGTAAAAATTTCGAAAAGAAAGGCACAGCGAATCAAAAACGCTATCTGTTATCCAGCTGATTGTTTGTCATTATTAATGATTTATTGATGAGTGTGGTTTTGATTTGCATTCATGTTTGACGCATCGAAAAGATTAGAGCTAACATTGACTAATTAACGCTTTCACTACAGCTTGATTAATTTATTATATGCATTTAGTGGTTTTGGGTGGAACTAGTATTGACGTGTATTATGTTTTTTGGGGAACACGGTACGGCACGATGAGCATATTCGATTATTTATCTGTAAGTGTAGATAAAGTTGCATATGTGATGCAATATACATCAATGCGTGCCGACTACAAGGTTGGTTATGCGAAAAACAACGGTATAAATATATTAAAACGCTAAAACTCCAATAAACTCACAAACAATAACGCAATTTCTGATTTAAACCGTTCTTTCTCTTGCTATTACAAGCAGCACTGGGAAATATTTACGAAAGCAGCCCCTATTTGCATAAGAAAAGTGTTATTTTGATTATAAATGGTTAAAAAGGCACGAAACATAATGTTGGTGTGATTACTCCTCGTCTCGGCACGGATATTACTTGTACGGGAGAAATTCGGAGATTTTTGACAGTTACTTAAACACGCATAACATATGAATTAACCCCTAGATACTTTTCAACGAGATCTTATCATTATGAAACCATTTTGTTTGGTTTCACCTGTATATGTGTATTAGACAAACACGTAGACACCTAGTTGAGGAGTTGAGGGTCTTGTTTGTTTACATGTTTACAATATTCATATTATTATTATTTATGCCACGTTAAGAAAATATAAATCGAAATTACATCGAATTGCTGGGTGCGTCGTTTTCATCAAAATGGCACCGCGCACTCGCAATGGACCCACCTTTGTATATATTAATATTTTGTCATTATGTGTATATAAGTGTCATAAGTTTCATTTTTTTGCATTTTCATCTTATGTACATAATACGCCTTCAATGTAAACACAAGTGGGTGAAATGCATGTCATAATAAAATGTTTAATTTTAAAAGAAATGAGAAGATAATAGAAGGTTTCACTACGATTCGTAAACGTTTGGTTTAAAATTTATTTATCAAATTGCAAATACGTAAAAAATGCAATTCGCTCGTTTGCCATCTACTGCGCGTGCGTACTTTACTAGACGCAATAATTGTCAAAATGTCAAACTTGCCTAGAACGCTTCAACTAAATTCGAACGATTTATTTAGTTAATTTTACTCATTTTGTTTCAATTCCTCCTAAGTCTTCTCAGCTAAGAATAAATTTCATTCATTTTTCTTGTTTGTATGATTTAATTAATTCACTCGTCTTAAAGCTCATTTATAATAATACTATATGTACGTTCGATTTTCGCACTAAAAATCACTACACGTCAATTCATCAAAACGCATTTGGTGTTTGGTTTTCATCTTTTGGTATGTTTGGTTATATCCATTATTAATCAATGAGTTGAAACTATCCGAGGAGGGTTTCCGTCTTCGTTACTTAATAAATTGGTCTAAAATCTAAACTAATCGCTTACTTTCGTCATTTGCCTACTCAAATATATCATATCGTCGGGTACAAATTGGTATAAATATGTTAATATATCGGAGCGATATGTTATCATTAAATATACTTAAGGAGTGAAAAAAGTGCGTTAATGTGTCCACTAAAATAAAATCATGACTAGCTTATTTGTGAGTGTTAATGTGTGTCTGTGTAAGTGTGTTTTCTGGAAGAGACTTTGTCATCACCTTTACGCAGCACTTAAAGCACGTGCAGATTCTCGCAGGACTTGGACTTACTATCGCGCGCCCACACCTTCCCCAGCAGACTTTTCACCTTCAAGCTGGCGGAGGTACGTGAGCCGCGGTACTTCTTCGGCGTGTTGGGCGCGCTGCCCGTCGGCGTTGCCGCGCCCGAGGTGCCGGTGGATTTGTTCCGATTGTGATTGCGTTTGGAGGAGCTGCGCTTGCGGAACAAGTCGCGCGATCTCTCGGGATTCTCCAGCTTGAGGCGTATCTGCGTGAGGATGCCGACCAGCAGCTCGTCCACGTTGTGATTGATGCCGACAGATGTCTCGATGTACTTGCAGTCGTACGAGGTCGCCATCGATTTTCCCTCTGCGCGAAAATGGAAACACAAAAGCAGACACACATTAAAAATGTTAATACAATTATCTTCATACTTTTATCTAGAAAATAACGGATGCTATTATATTAATATACATGTAAAGCCAGTGGCGGGTCAGAGATGTAGATTTTAATTAGGCCAGAGTACGGCTAACAATCGCATTAGAATCATTAGTCGAAGGGCTTGTGTGTGGCCTGGTTGTTACGATGAAAGGACTCGGAGGGTGATCCCGGCTAAGTGTATGCATTAATCGGTTATGAGGTCAACGTGGCCTGGAGGCTCCAAACGCAGTTTACGCACGTTCTTTAGTTTAGAAGGTCCTTTCATCGCCTTCTCACGTTCGTCTTTACACATTTCGCGCATTAAACACACATTTTCGTAATAACACGCACGCCACCAGTTCATATACCACATGTTATCACAAAATAAAAATAATAGAAAAAAAGTTAGGTTAAAATGTCAAGCGTTGTCTGATATAACCTCAATTTTTCTCTATTAATCCACTAAAAATGCTCTAAAAATAATTTGAAATAATGTAGACGTATAAATATAACTTATACAATGTTATTATTGTTGATTGCTCCTGGGAAAACGTTTGAATAGCAAGTTTCCACCCGTTTGTAGCCGTCGGTGGAAACGTGGGTTCATTGTCCTGTCAGTCGTGCGCGGCGCAGCGCTCGCGGTCGAAAGCTGAACCAGCAGCAAAGTGACGCGTCCGGCGGCAATGCGGCGAAGAAAAACGCGAATCGATTGCGATCCGTGCTCAGTTCGCGATTGTCGACTCCTTCGGCGCGTCGCCAAATCCGATCATGGAAGTCGCGGCACACAATAAAACGCAATAAAACTTTGCTTATTTGGCTGTATCGCATCGTTAGCAAATACGCGCGCGCTTCCATTGAATGGCAGCTAAATCTGCTCCTCGTCGAAGCCAGTTATTTCTTCCTTTAACTTGATTCCTTCTGCGACCTTTAACTTTTACGCTGCGCTTAAATAAGAGCAGGGTGGAGGAAAAGCAGATGGCAAAGAGAAAGAAGCGCTGAGATTGGAAATTTTTGCGCCGAAACAAATTGACAAACAGGATAAACTAGTATATTCGAATCTATACGCGCATTAGATGGCGGAGTTCGCAAAGTTTCGCGAGCCAAATTACGCGATCCGCTCAGCGTCGGCGAACGACGTTGCAGTTCATTTGCTTGATTAATTCTCATTGGATTTCCTCTTTTTCAATTTTATCCTTTTCCAGCTTTCCGCCCAAGATCCACGTATATCATCCTGATTTAATTTTAATATTCATTAAATTCTTTCTTTTTATTCTCTTTTTCAATAATAAAAAATATTTTTCAAAGAATTTTCAATTCAAAAGTCATTCATTTTGCTTGTTTGTCAAGATCTGGAGATTAAAGTGCGTTTACTCCTTAACACCACACTTAATACATTCCGTATTCAAGTCACAAACATTTCGATCTGAACGCACTGATTCCCATTTACAGCTTTTTCTGCTCACGTCCGCAAATCATCAAGAAGCCAAAGCAAAGAAGATCTTTCAGCGACCCTCCAAAAATCAGCAAAAAGTAAGCGCAGGAGAAAAGTTAAAAACGCCGAAAATAATTCCAATGAATAGAACGTTCCGGGCCTATACTTGTAAAGATCTTAAAATTCCATTATGCCGATGAACTGGAAGCCTTAGGACCTGCACGAGATGAACGTCATAAAGAAGCGAAACGTTTTTATTAAAGAAACGTAACGAAGAGCAAAAAAAAACGCACATAAACTTCCAAATCTTGGCGTCCGCCGAAAAATATCACGCTCTAGTCGAGTACCTCTACCTTCGTTCGTATTTTCGCACGAACAACCAAGGAACAAACGCAAATTTAACGCGAGGCGCCGGATTCTTGGCAGATTGAATTGTCGTCACGTCTGGCGTTTAAATTAGGTTCGCGGACGCCGGCACGTAATGGAATGTAATTTCATAGGTTATTATTTTTTCTTAATAGTCCATCGAGTCGAGCACGATCGTATAATCGTGTTGACGAGAGCATTCAGATAATTCACATTAAGTGCCTCTTTAAAAATCATCCATAAAAATAATGAAATAAGAAAACTAAGTAAGATTTTGTTATACAAACTTGACAAGGATTAAAAATGTTCGTGTGACCATATTTTTTATTTAAAAAGTTCGGTTAGACGACACTCATGTTGCCTTTTTGTTAACTTTTTCATTTGCAGTTTTATTTTTGGCCGGCGTCTTTTTCTTTCCCGATTTTTGAATTTTATGCTTAGCTTTTTGAATTGACTTTACACTTGGCTTTTTCTCTTGATCTTTCTTTCTGCAAACATCACACAACGTCACTAATGAATCGAAAAACTCAATTTCGTCACGGTCGCGCGTTCCTGTCAAACGTTGCTTCGAAGTTTTCCGCCGCATACTTCTCCGCGGTCCGGCTGGAATATTTGCCGGTTTCTTTACTTTCTTAGTTAATTTTCGAGCATTATGTCCACGTCCTTTTCTCAATTTGCCCATTTGTTGCACGGGGCGTCCATCCGGATGCTTAACCGGTGGTTCAACCTCCTTTTTCTGAGACTCCACACGTCTTTTTTTCGGTTTGTTATTAGGAATCGCGTGCCACGTGGGTTTAGCTGGCTCTGGTTGCACATCAGCTGATGATTCACCACTCTCCAGTTCACCAAGTGAACTGACGGACGAGGAAATACGTTTTGTCAGCAAATGCTCATCGTCTTTAATGTCATGCCATAATCGTATAGCCTTTTTGGTGGTTGCGAGTAAATTACGGTTGCTTTGCCGGGAATTCACGTAACATTTTAAAAAATCGAGAAAACTTTTATTCATTTTGATTCATACTACTTGAAAATTTATTTAAAAAATATATTTTTGGTCCGAACTTGTTATGATCACCGAAAATTTTGAAACCTTTCAAAAAATATGTCACTCAGGTTTGTTATTATAATAAATAAAATCAAATTGCTTTGAATTTAAAACAAAAATCAATTTTTACCAAATATTTAAAGAAAACTCTGAAGAAAACTTATTTTTCCAATTAGGATGGGTATTTCAAATAAAAAGAAAAACTTTTTGTCTAAAAGTAGGTCACACTCAATAAGTCAAACCAAAGAAGGAAGTTTTAAGTCTTTTCCGGTTAATTCCAAAGTGCCAATTTACTTCTTTTTACGTTGACGTTCAGAAGATACTTATACGCTTGTTAAACATCAAAAAATTAAATTTTCCATGAATTTGAATACAGTACATTCCGATTCAAACCTTGATGTAAACTCCTAGAAACCCCGATTACCTTTGATACAATACAATGCAAATGCAGCTAGTTAAACTCAAATTATTGGAATGTTCCTCGCTTCCCAATCCACTTAGCCTGCTTGTTAATGCATTGTGCATTAATGAAATACAGACATTGCGCAAAACACTTAATCTCCAAGATAATAGCAAAAAGCTTTGTGTATTGCACCAGATATACAATAATAAATTAGCTCGAAATACCTTCAGTGCTGACAGCGCGCGATCTCACCAAATCCGCTTTGTTTGAAACCAAGATAACCGCCTTTGTACTGATGGTATCCAGCGTCCAGAGAGTTTGCAGAATCATCTCGGCGCAGCTCAGACTGGAACGGTCCGCACAGGAGAATACGACGCAATAGGCGTGCGGATCTGTGTACTTTTTGATGCAATTCTGCGGCTGTAAACAAACAATCCAATTTCCACAACTACATATAAACAATTTCGCTGCCTGTCTGTCTATTCGTCCATTTATCTACATCACTTTTTTTATTTCGGTGAAGTTGTAGTGTTGTACTTACAGTTAAGTCTGCCGTGGCGAAATCGATGAACACCAACTCGGACTCTTCGCCTGCCAGCAGCACGGACACGGTCTTCTCGCCACTGTCGTCGTCTATAATATAAAATGAGAGGGTGAATAATTAAACGCGACAAATTAAGGTCTCGTTTTCGGGTGTGAGCTGAACAGCTGAATGTTGCCAAAGTATCAAGAATTAAACGCGCGCGCGATGTTGTCCTTAATTTTCGTGCACACTGACGCGAAATACACCCTCTACACCTTTGTCGATTGTAAATTAAGTTTTGCTCATAACGACGTTATCCCACGCTCGGTTTTCAGCGCGGACGGCCGAGACTGATTCGTTTACGAATTATATTTCCGTTTGCGCTGATTGAATGCGAAATGAATAGACCAAATTTAGGCATAAATAGAATTAATACTAAATCTCTACAAAACATAATATTTCGACCCAAAACATGCGTTTTTATTTATTTTTTTATGTTAGAATGAATTATGTAATCAGTTGAAGTTGAAGGTCTTTTTGTGTTTGCAATTCAAACAAGACGAATCATGATAAAGATAGAACTTATGACTGCACATAATTCTCGACGCAAAGTGGAAACAATTTTGCCGATCCATCAAAACTCCGGGCGCGTCTTCGAGTAAGTTTACGCCGTAAAAAGTACATCGTGCGCCCGCGCGCTCGCTTGATTACATTGCTGGCAAATTGCGAAACTTGTGATAAATATGACCATCTGGCATGGATTTAGGACGTAATGAGTATTGGCCGCGGCGCGTTTTCGTGCATGTTTACCACTCATAAAATTATGTGCACGGGGGGCGCTTGTTTGTCGATGGTAATTGAATTGTAATTGCACAAAGGGTGGACTTGTTATCATCGCGTCACGTCATCGCTCGATGTGTTAATTACATCAAATAAATTAATTTTTTTTAAGTGGCAATGCATTTAATGTGAATTTCTTTGAAAAAATTTAAAAATTGAGAAATAATACGACTCTTGCATATTTAAACATTGAACAATCAAATCAAAATTATGTATACACGATGAATTCGCGTGCGAGCCGATTTAAATGAGTAAACATTAACGAGTACGCCGGAAATTCTAATTTCAATACGGACTGGCTAGCGATGATGCAGGTTTTTGTTGAGCTAGCAATTTGCATATGCAGATGCGATTTGAGTGCATCCCACAACGGATGCTCACAGAGTGCTGATGCCTCACGCCCTGCCGCGCCTCGTCATCATGCATAAATACATACGTAAATCGCTTTGCTGGCTTCCTTCCTTCCGGGGTTGCAACTTGCAACCATCGCTCGGTTTGCTCAACTTATGAAAATTGTGTGTGTGTGTTGTCAAACGCTCACTGCGTAATTACGCGCTCGTTCGCACGTCTTCATGTAAGTCTAATGTAATTTAGCAACACCGCCGGCTTTGTAAAGCTGTTTTACTTTCACGCCAGTGAAATTGATACAAATATTTATGTATGTGTGTGTGAGCGTGCATTATTAATTAGTAAATAAACGTATCCATGTTTACCTATGCTCGTGTCATATGCGTGCAGATACTCGGAAGTCATAAATTGTGACACCAGGGAGGACTTGCCCACGGCGGGGCCGCCCAACATCAGGACACGGTAGGGCATCGGGCCGGGGGCGCTCGTCGACGATTCCCGAGATGATGCTAGACTGCAGTTGGCTGATGTGCGTGCCGAGTTTGCTGTCGAGACCACCGGCAGTTGTTCGGTACTGCAAAACATTAATTATTAATTCAATTAGCTATAAACAAGTAGGATCTATATTGTACATAATGTCCAACTGTCAAAAAGTTCATTACATAATAATAAAAACATTTTGCAACGTGAAATTATTCATTATCTACTAAAATCGTACACATTTTCGTAAAATAAAATGAAATTAACACTTTTGCTGCGTATATGCTGCTAATCGCGAATATTATCCGCAAAATAAAAACCATGTCAGTAGGTCAGAAGGTATTCTTAGACCATGCCTAGCAGACTATGAAATGCTTCATCAAACCAGCAGTGGAAGAATTTCGGCTATAATTCTACTCTTAGGCACTCGGCGCAATAATGAAATGTCAAATGCGATGGAAAATGTTAATGGTCTGGTGCTGAGGTCGAGGTGGCGCCCCCTGCTATGTGCCGTGACACAGAAACCGAATTAGCAGAAAAAGTACATCTCCCTTCGTGGAAAACGAAACAAAACAGGCGCAAAAAATTGAAGGCAAAGTGTGTGATACTTTCAGGCAATCAGAAAACCTATGATCGTAAAAGAGGATAAATTACACGTTTTTAAAATGGGAATGTAAAGCATTGACCTAGCAATATTTAAGAAGGGATTGGATTTTGGGACGAAATGGAACTGAAGCACTTAATTGAATTACCCAAATTTTTTGTCAGCCAATAAAGTTGCGAATAAATTGGTTTGTCTGCACGTATAGAACAAATTTGAACTTGAAAGAAATTTTTTATATTGTTTAATTATATACTTGAATAAGCCACGTGCCGCAATATTTTATGCATTATTAATTTTTGTAAGTAGGTACTTAATTATATGTAAATATTAAAATGAGAGTATAAATTTTTTATGCGTTTTAATTAATCCTAAAAAAAATACTGTTGTCTCCATTTAAATAAAAACCTAACCATAATTGGCAAACCCTGATATGGCTGCTTGAAATTTATTTTTAGGTTATAACCTATTGCTAAAAAGTCAATAAAACTGTTGAGTGCACCGTGGGAAATAAATCCTTGCACTTTTAAAGCCATTTTCCGTGAAATGTAATCTCACCTGATTCATTCAGCGTAATTCCTAAATACATCAAATCTAAATTAAACCGCCTTTAGATTTTATGTTTTCTTCTTTGAAAACTAACATAGCTTGAAGTAAAAACGAAGAATTCAAGGTTCAGGTGATGTAAAAATAAAGATCAAAGCAAAGTTGCCTCCAAGAAAGTATAAATAATGTACATGCATTCATGTGTCTGACAAAAACACACTTAGGTTACAATCCACCCTCAGGTCTCACACCCCATATACATAAATAAAATGGATTCATTTTTCATGAACAAATCGCGCAAGGAATCAACTTGGGCACTGGTTGCAGTAAAGTCTGATATCTTACGGTCTGAGTTTTTCACTTTTCGCACGCCGTATTTTGATCGTGTCGCGCTGAGGTCGACGAGTCTCACCCGGATTTAGCCACATTTTCCAAAGCCACCCCACACGAGTCTACCAGAAATATCGGAAAACCGTTCGTCACCGAGGGTGGATGATGTTGCTGGGCAGAGTTTCACGCGCGCACTGAATCGGAGGCATCGCCGTTCGAGTTCGTCAGCACCAGCATCCCGCCGATTGTCTGTGTCATCCGGCGTATCGGCGGGTTGCCGCTTCCCCAGCTACACAAGACAGCCATTACGCCCATGATGCGACCTATCTGCCCATCTAGCTGATAAACATACCGCATTCCCACCACCGGACGAATAAGAACGTAGGCAACCCTTTTATCAAGAACAGGTTTTAAGAGGACCAGGGATTAAATAAATCAGGAGTTTATCCGCACACCCGGTAGGTGTGGGTATGTGTGGAAACCTATGTTTATGCCGATATTGAATATCTGGATATTCAGTGGGACACACCGTAATCGGATCATCATAGTCCATCGGTCCGCATCAATCAACGGATTAAAACGGGAGACTGGGTAAAATGTGTTTACAAGGGTATGAGTGCCGTCCTGCATTCTGATTCGTTTGCGTTCGCACCGCCATTGTTTTATTTATGCATGCGGGTAAGAACATCTATATCGCTTCTTTCTCTATCTGGGTAACTAGGTAAGTACTCAAACCTGTTCGTGGCGTGGAAGCGACTAGAAGAATTATGTCACGCGACGAGATGAAATAAGCTTTTAGACAATTTTGACAATGGGCGGTATTCAATTCACAACGCTCTGGTCGCACACAATTGCACACGCATCTATTGTTGACATTAAGTGTTAACATTTACCAGCAAATGGCGACACCGCAACACCAACCGCACGAATGGCGAATGGCGTCTCGTGACGTTGGTTGCCCACAACCCTAGATTCGAGACGTAGGTGGGAGTCCTTTAAATGTCATCAGCGATACTGATTGTAGACGAAAACTAACTTAACCATACTAATAATTTGGTAATATTAATTCATAACTGAAAACAGTCGGTATAAACAACTGTTGAATTCGATTGGGGTTACACCTCACACTCGATTGCAGCCCGAGAGTTATTTATAAATTCCACCCGGTTGGGTGTACCCTATTCATGCATTCTCTGGATGACAGTTGACAGGTTTGTGTGAATACACAATACCAACTAGGACAATATACATTTAAAACAATAGTCATACCCTGCGGTAGAAGAAAAAAATGTTTGCACTAACCTCGAATTACTGGAAGCGACCGAATTGTTTGATCTCGATCTGCGACTCTTCAGGCTGTCGCCCCGATTGACAACGCCTTTGCCAGTGATGGAAAAGTGCCGCAATCGGTAATACTCCTCTTCGACGCCGGTGTTGGGCATTGAAGCGACCCGGGAGCGCTGCTGTGGAAGACATAGGTAGTTGGGACGGCCCGAGGACCTTCCCGGCGTCTTGACGGATTGCGATCGGTTGTGATGTGGGCTGCCATACCTGCGGTCACGAACACACAAACAAAACATTTTTTATTCACCAGGAAGACAACTCGCGACCGATTGAAGTCGTCGACTGGGTGATATGATATTGCGACTCGGTGCGAATCACCTCATCATCAAAGTATTTATTTTAGGATTAAGCCGAATAAGAAATCGAGGAAATGAAATGAAATGAAAGAAATGCGCACGAATTTAGAGAAATAAAGATTAAAGATTTCACCGGGGATAAAAATATCCATGGATGAATGAACTCTACGTTTGTCTTTTTTTTAAGTCATGAATAAAAAAATTACCTCATTTCAAAATCGTGGATTTCCTCCAGCGTTAAATTGTTTGCAACGTCCAGTAATTGCTTGACGCTATCTTCTTTCTGTTTCTTGCTGGTTTTGCTATGAACCTCGACGTTGGAGACAAATTCACTGCCGTTTTTCAACAGTATTGTAGCAACGTTTGCATTGTCTACACTCAGGGAAGGTTGTTGCACCACAATTGTCGCCTGTGGTACTTTGCGTCCACCGCCACCACCGCTGACCACATGCATAGATGAATTCTCCATTGGGTTCGTCGTAACATTAATCGGCGATCCGCCGACTGCGTCCAGCTGCGCCCCGACTTCTCGTAAACATTTATTGAGGCATACACTGCCTCTCTTTTCCAATACGATAGCCGGCACAAAAAGGCAATCGTCATCCGCTGAGGGTTCATTGAAGAAATCAACGCGTAAATCTGGCAACGGTGGAGTTTCACGCGATTCTCGTGAATCTCTTGATTTTTCTTTGTATTTTGCAATGTGCTGTTCGTCGTAGACGAATTTGTCAGTTTTGAATTTGTTGGGTGAGTGGTGGTGTTTGCGGGTGGAACGCTTACGCCTTGGAGAGGTGGACTTTGGAAGGGATTCAGGCGGAGGCGGAGTTTGATCACTAGCAAGTTCTATTTTGTCTAAGTCTCCTTGTGCTGCTTTGTAACTGTTTCGACGACGGCCTTCTACTCTCATTGCATCTAATTGCTCCTCCATCAGAGAGTCAACTGTTTTTTGTGCGCTTGGAGCATCACCAGTGATGTCTGAGTTCGTGGGTGTTCGGTTTTCTCCATCGGAGGGTACAAGCTGCCCGGTGGGCGAAGTCATATCAAAGGTGAATTTTGTCTCCGCCAACTTGGCCGTCGGAGGCGTGTTTTGTTTCGCCGTGGGTGGAGTTTTAGGTGATACCAGTGTAGGTTGCATAACCTCAACTGCATGTTGTGATGTCGTTGCTGGCTCGCTAGCGTAGATATCAAGAGATTCGTTCATGTCCAAACTATCTTCGGTAATCTCACCGTCGGTGGCCGTCATGGTTGTCACAATGGTATTAGCACTATCTGTGCTAGTGTTAATCGTGTTTTCCGATGTTGTGCTGGATCCCATGACCACCACCTTAGGCACGCCCTGCCCAGTTTGATGCGAGCCGCCTCCGCCTCCGGTGCTGGCATTACTCTTGTTGCTCTTGGTGGTGCCGCGTCCCGTTTTGAAATTCAGCCGCCGCAGCGCCGACGTGGCAGTGCTGATGAGGTCCTCGGAGGGTCGGGGAGATTTTGGGCCCGACTGCGAGTTCACTGTCATCCTGGATGTTGGTTGCTGCTGGTTGTGGTGGTGCTGGTGTTGGTGCTGAGATTGGTGCTGTTTATGATGGTTATGTTTGGGACTGTTTGGGTTGCCTACGCCAGCTGCAATCTACAACAGGAGAACAACAAATGTAATCATCTAATGTTTCACAATAAATTATTCTCCCTGAGGCGCATGGTAAACACACTACAATCAAAGACCACAGTTTAATATAACTTTAGTTTATTAACTTTACGCCATTACTGCCATTAACGCTGTTTACGTATAATTATAATTAATAGCAGTTTTCATTGTTTTCGGCAGTGAGTGGTGATTGGAGTGACGGCACCAAGAACAACAAATCTCTACTGCGCATTTTGTCTTGAAGTGTGTTGTGTGCCAGATAAGAAATTCGTTTTCTTCAATGTCAAAAACGTCAAATATTTATTTTTCCGCTGTTTCTATCTGTAATATAATATATTCGGGATAAAATAAATAAAATATGAAATTTGTGGGAATTTACAAGAAATCCCTTCAGTAAAGATGTTGAAACCCGTGAAATAAGTCGGTCTGAAGCAGTGATTTCCGTATTATTTCAGAACCAAGCTCTTGGATGTTTACGGTGTGCTGGTTTCTGGTATCATTGTCCTTCGCTGGCCTTTGTGCACCCTTCGAAACACCGAAAAGCATGGCGTCTACGCACGCATACACAAGACAGAATAAAAACAGGAAACGAACAAAGAAAATAAGGAAAAGACGGAAATAAGCACCGTGTCCGAATTCGCTCGGCACCAATTTTTCACATGTGCGCTCATTGTTTGACATATACATTCGAGTACAAAGAAGTACCAAAAGTAAGCAACACATAAAGTCACAACTTGAAGTGTTTGACATTTTTAAGACTCACGAAACACCAAAACCAGGCCCAATAATTTAGTTATGCAAATCAGCGCATAAAAGTTTAAATTATCACAAATCTTTTTCACATATACTTTATGATTAGACCAACGTAAACTCAGCATAATTTAAATTTAAAACTTTTCATTAATCTCTGTTCGTGCTTTCGCTGCACGCTCATTTCAAGAGCAAATATCTGCGTTGGTAAATTTAAGCAAAGAAAGTAAATTCTAATTTTACGCGCCCACGTCGAGCCTCGCATGAAAATAAATCTCGACTTGTACGATTTGCTTTTCGTTACGTTTCGGTCTCTGTGAAGTGAAATGGAAAAAAATGCGAGTGCGTCGTGCGATTGTAATTCACGCGCGACACGCTGTTTACAAACGCTGCGGATTTAAATTTCCATAATTATTTATAAACACGCTCGGCGCGACGCGTGCTACGCGCTGTAATCGGTGCGAGGTACATAAATAAACGCCACGGTGAGGTGGAAGTGAGCGTAAGAACAATGCATGCAGGAGGTCACGCTTCTAGTTCCTCACTTTTATATCAGTGCGTTAGTTGGATCGCAGAAGACGTGTTTAGTGCAGTGTAGTGCCATCTGGTGGTTTACTGTGGAAATATTTATTTATTTACACAGCAAGGACGTTGATAACCGAGGTAAATAAATATTTTAAATTTTATCCGAAGGAAAGTTAAATAAAATTGACATTAAACTAACATTTAACTGCCTAGGTAATAAACCTGCATTTTAATTGAAGTTTTATAAGAATTTCGAGCCATGCGTGACGATATTCAGTAAATTTAAACTAAAAATTCAATTTTTATATGTGCATGTATGTAAATTCATGAAAAACTTTTATATGCAGTTCCGTTTAGAAACTATTAGATTATTGCACAAAGAAAACTTCCGAAACAATGCACAGCGCATATTTCCGACATAAATTTTCATAAAATTTAATATTTCACATACTACGAGTACGGTTACGTGTAAATTGATGCAACCTTTAATAATTAAACCTGATTTAAATAGAATGTATCCCTTTTGATTATTGTTAAATTTTCCCAGATGGCACAAAGTGATAGAACGTATAATATGCGTTCCCCTTCTGCGCCCTAGTCGCGATCAATTTTCATTGCGCACAGCTTGCTCCTCGTGCGTGCAATATGTTTATATTACGACTGAATTTCACCAGTAAACGCAAACGTAAACGCGTGCAAGTTGTACTCTTGTGAGGGCTGCCAGCGGGCGAAATTGATGTTAAGTGTTTCGCACGTTTATCGCGCAGGGTCGACACCGTCAACGCACTCAATTAACGTGTAACTAACTGTAACTAACTCAACGACACCATGGTAATATTAAGCTGTAGGCATAACATTAACTTGAATAAATAAACAAATTGTTTTGGTGGAGGCGCCGGGCACCACAAAGATAAAATCAATAGAAAATACAAACTTTAAGGTTAATTTAAATTGAATTTATAAATTATTAAATGTAATGAATAATAATTAATAATGTAAATTGCATATAAAGCTTTTGTAGTTTAAAATCTTTAGAAATCAAAAGTTCAACGTTTGTCAAGTTTCGTTTATATATAATTCACGTCCTGAGACTTGCACCATTCAATTGTCAAGTTGACCTCAACTATACAAGTTTTAATTTTATAACACCAAGCCAAAATATTGAATAGAAGCAGTGTTGTCATGTTGCTATACGCAATAACGTCAGAATAGACGAAAACATACTCCATTCATTTTTTATATCGATTGAATATTATCGCAAATCGCAAGATACACACAAAAAACGGTGATGGCACAAAGCGGACGATAATAAGAGATAATAAGGGTAACGACGTGAATGTAAATGTGAAACGAGCATGAAACCAGCATAGACAAAGCTGCCAATCGCGTAATTTGATGAAACGCTTGTGGGGGATGTGCAACAAATATGAGAACGGGAATTATTTACGGGGGTGTAGAAATGAAATGTTGAACGCGTTTGTGCCGAGGTAATTCGTTTCGTGGTGACAGCCTAACGCCACGGACACTGTTCTATTAAATCCATGTTCAAACGTCCGTCAAAATTGCTTTTGGAATATTTTTGATGTAAAAGGTGTTATTACAGCACAAATTGGTTTAATTAGCGTTTAATTTGTTCAAATTTTGATCAAATAATTAAAGCATGTTTATGAAATGCGTATAATTAATATTCCAGCGTGATATTTGCATAATTATGCATAAATATGCAAATAATGTGTTGAAATTTATTATTTTTCAAGTATTATGCTGTTTATCATGTTAGGGGCATCAATAAACTGCACGTGACATCAAATAAATTGTTTACCACTTTGATTCAAATTGAAAATCTATTATTCAGCCACGATTATAATTGCTTTATCGGCGTATCTAATCAAAAACAATTCAATTCGTTGTGTGCGATACTGCGTTGTTTCCAATTCGTCGATTTTGGTGCAAATATCAATACGATTCATTTCGTTTTGAAATTACCTTTTCCGGGACAAATTATAGCAGAATAATAATTCTCGAAACAATTGAAGCGGTAAAACTGGCGCGCATTGTTTGCAACTGTGTCCGCGAAGTCCGTTGCGATGCGTCGGCCCAGAATTAATTAGAAACTCGAGCGGAAAGCTCTCGCCCACACGAAAGGAACGCATTCCGACGACAATACTCGTTGCAATTAATTAAAACAATTTAAATGAGGACGGCTACACGACAAGCGCGTCCAATCCTTTCCAGGGGCGATGTTTTCGCATCGTAAAACAATTCAGGCGAGAGATTATGCGAATTGTAGGTGTATTGTTATTACGCAATTCTGTAAACAGGGTTTAAGCGTTTAATAACATTCGAATTGAGTGATGAGGGTGAACATGCCAGAGATTATCCCAAGGATAAAATGTTTTTTGTGTTAAAAATGTAAAAAACATAAAAACTTGTTGGTTGCATAATAAAACGCAGTTTTTCTTTCTCCAAGACGTCTATCATGTAAACATAAGATGCATATTCTTGCGCCTGACATTTTCAAGCATCCACTTGAATGGAAAAGCGGATATAACAAATATACAGCGTGGTTTTTTAATAAATAAAAAGTAAAGCCGCCGCAATATTTTTCTGACGCTCAGCGAAAATGGCAAATATCGGTTAAAGAAGCCTCGACGTTTATCTTCTACGCACTTCGATGTATTCCAATTATTATCCTGATAGCTCGCAGCATGCATATTGAGTGTTTTTGAGCGCACACATTTCCATCGCGAACAGCTCCCGAAGGGATGGTTATTTCGTGTGTGGGTGAATGGCTTTTTAAAATCATCTTGTTTATGTGTGCGTAGTCGTCCGTGCAAAGCGGGGTGTCAATTTGCATTGTGTGCGATTCCATTGTAAAAACCTATCGGACTAGGTAATTTATTTGGACAAAAAGCGTCCGCTTGACGAAAATATGGTCCACCAACACCGCGCGTGTGGTAAATTTCGTCGTAAATTTTAAACGACATGCCGACGTGGCAAACCGTTTGCTTGTAGGGTAAGCAGACACTTTTATTTGGTGAATATAACGCCCAGAGGTGATTACAAGCTTCGTTAATTTTGTAAACCTAACGAGAGAGCAAACGTGCTGATTAAATGATATTAATATGCGTGTAATATACATTAAATGTGTAATTGGTTGCATACTATGTAATTATAACCGCTATTAACGGTTAACTAAGCTCTAACCCTGCTCAAAGTTGTTGTTTTGTATTTTTTTATTGTTTTAAGAGTTTATTTTCGTAAATTTAAAGATTATTATGTATGTAATGTACATTAAATGTGTAATTGGTTGCATACTATATTATTATAGGCGCTATTAACGGTAAATCAAACTCTAACATAACTTTTAGTCATTTTTTATTGTTTTAAAAGTCTTTCTTAGTAAATTTAAAGATAAATTGAATCATTTACAAGTAAATTTTCACCAAACAATAAAACACAGTTAAACTTGTCAATTGGATTGCAAACTTTTTGTGTTATCAGCAGAAAATGTACCACTGGACATTGTTCCAAGTTTAATAATGCAATCCCGGCAAAAGATAGAGAAAAACCCCAGCACATATTTTCAATTTTCCATTCACGTTTCCTCCCTTTCAACTGTTAAGTGTAATCTAATTCTAAAACAGTTTTTGCTGTCATGATACTGACGAGCCATACATCCCTCCCGGGTGGATAGCAATTTAGCAGGTAGTATACCGCCCGCAGAGAATGCTCTCCTGCTAAAACAGCAGGCCCACTAACGAGCGAGTCCATTGTACACATATTTTTAGAAGGCGCTGGCGTTCGTGGGCGAAACTTGGTTAGCTTCGCCAGCCCGCCGGGGCTTTTAATAAACATTAATTGTTCGCCCCGGTCGTCGGTCGTGTTTTTCCGGTCGGCTGGCTGTGGATCGAGCCGAAGAAGAGTCTAATATTAACGACACGATATCTCTATTGAACCCATGTTTCTATTAAGTGTACAAGGCGGCCGTCTATCGCTCCAACACCCCTGCGGATTGTGGTGTTGGAATAATCCATATTGTATAAATATATTCATTCGCAGCATGAGATGACAGCAAACACGACGGATATTGTGACAATATTAACACTGGAGTAAAATTTTTAGATTTTTTTATTTTATAATAAAAAAATAATTGTTTTTAATCAAACAACATCATACATGATAAAACAGATGTTAAATCAATAAATTTATTCATTTGGTAACTGGTTCATGCTTCATGGTAATCGAAGTCAATATTTATTTGGAAAATTATTATCGATTATTCGCCGTAGCGAAAAGTCAACCTTGGAGCCAAGTCAAAATAGATGTTTGGCGGCGTATGCGTGTATTTGTACATGTGTGTCAGTTAAATAATGAACGAGCTGCCCTCGTTTCAACTCGCGAATTGTGAAGTTCCGCCGCAATGGGCCGCGTGGCAGCAAATATGCCGCATGGGATTTATGCAAATAATCCCCGCCACATCGCGCCTACCCTCGCTCGCCGAGTGTGCATAAAGTTTAACCAGCTAATTACATGTGTTCTTAATGTGTACATAATATCGCTTGCTATACGCGAATTGAATGTAATTTATGTACACATATGTTAATATGAATGCAGTCGCACATCATTTACTACAATGTCCATAATTCCATGGGCATCATTAATTACAATTTCCACTAACTAACAACAACATTCACATTTAGTAACATTATTAGTATTAATATTGATAGTGTTTACATTATGGCGCAAATGGGAAATTTTCTACTCTATTAACTTAACTATTTGAAAATTGAATTTAATTTATTTATGTTGTTTACATGTTAAACATTTTTTTAATAAACACTGATAATAAAAATTATAGTGTTATCTATGCTCTCAGGGTGGTAAAGGTAAAGCAATTGCATTTAGTAACTACGAAGAATATTGTTGTTGAGGTTAAACCAGGACATCACCTTCATCTATGCAACATAATCAACTATGTAGATGTTAACCGCATAGAATCTATAGGCAATTTCCGTGAATTTCGCACACTAGGCAACCCAATATACCTACGAGTTTACTACTGTTAATATGTTCATCCTATCATTTGTGGCGGGTGCGCCCGTGGCACCTCGCCAAATAGTACAACTTTTACAATGCATTCTCGAAGGTGGAATGTCGAGTATAACATAACTCGCTAAGCCAATGTGTGCGCTGGTAGCTGCTAGAAAGCTATTGTTTTCTTAGCAACGCAAACTCGATACAGCACGGTGCAGTACATCTAGTTACTTAATTGGTAGTGCAATCGATATCAATTTCTATTTGAAGCGATGAAGCGAGTGAAACTGCACTTTTGTATATATATCCAGTTTTCAAGCGAATCAAACTTTGAATTTGCTTTCACTAATTTTTATTTCAGCGCCAATTCGAAAAGAATCCAATTACTTCGATGGCTTGGAGGCTTCAAGTATTTACTCCTGCTTTTAAAATCAACATGCTTTGTTCGAGTTTTCCAATTATTATTATTAAATCTCGCTACACCTTCAGCAATAAAAGTTCTTAGAAAAAGGAGAAATGAAATGTTTAAGGTATAATTAAATAGAAAATATTATAAACGTTTCTTTGTATTTCAAGTTCTCAGTTCGCTGAAAAGTTGATTTCTTTTATTTTTATTTTTTTCTTCTACTGTAGTTTAAGGTTCAATTGAATTCTGCATAAATCTGCGTTTGTAATGTGATTTTTTAATGCAAATTCTCATAAAAATCAAAACTTAAATCAAGAATTCCACTCGTAAATTGATCCTGTGAGAGTTATGTTTGCTAATAATGGTTTCTGTGTGTGCGTATCCCTAGCCTGCTCGAAAATACTTAGTCCTTAGAAGTCTGAGAGTACTTATAATCGTATTCTCTCAAAATTACGATTTTCACCTCAGTTCGAATTTCATTGCGTCGAGCCTGAACTCGAGTCCAGATTGCTTGTTACTGCCGCGCTTATAATTCTTACTGAAGGTAATATGAGTTGAATCCCTCCGGGCGGACTTTACATCTACTTAATTGTTTTTAATAACAGGGTTAGCGGCGTTGTTACGCGTCTTTTACCGCTTTAAATCTACACCTCAAGTACCTTTACTCGAGATGAGTTATGATTGCGTCGTTTTCACGTTTCATTGAGTTTTCAAGTTTGCCTGCGCACAAATTTAATATGAATTTGTTTGTGCACGAACACATATACAGATTGTTTCAATTTTCTTTATATGCATTTAATATTAATTGCATTTATTTACAGAATATGTAATTATTTTAATTATTTTATTTTGTTTATTTATTTTTTGCTTTAATTTTATTTTAATAAATTAGGGTTTAGTATATTAATTGTAGCAGTCTGTGACTGTGTATTTCTTCTGAAACGTGCACCACTATTTATTACGCACGAACAATTTTCAAACATTTTGAAAGTTTAGGTAAAGTTGGCCGAGCGATTCTATGCAAATGCGAACCACGACGAACAATGAATAAACTGCCAAAAAGGCTAAAACGAGCGTGACAAGAAAGCACGAGGAATGCGCAAACCGGAAGAAAGCAGAGCTGCGTCTTATGGCCTTAGCCACTCCTCATAACTTGGGCCCAAAGTGCTGCAGCGCTGCCGCGGTTGGGATTCAAAGCCGAGAGGAAGTTAAATCTAAAGAGACGGGGAAATTGAAAGCACCGCAAATAGTAGGCATTCGCGACTATCCATAAAATTATATTAGATTAAATAAAAATAGCAATGGAATTGAATCAAACTATTTGTAAACTGAGTACGACTGGAACCATTTGAGTAGATATTTATTGATTTTCTATCATACTCAAAGAATACAAGACAATCCCGGTAATGCAATGAAATAAGAGCAATGTTGGTTGCATTCAATTCTTAGATTTATATTTCATTGCAATGAATCAAATATAAAATCTTTACCATAAACGTGATGTTTCGGAGTTCTACTCTTTTCCCAACAAGGCGTATAAAAGAGCTTTGGGAAATGTTCAAGAAAGACGCGCGTTGCCCAGTTTGTGTGGTCGTGACGAAATCTCTTAATCCTTTGCGCAGCCTAAACTTTGCATCCAGTTTCGCTTGTACTTTGGTTTTCATCCACTAAGCGGCTCGTGCAAGCTCTTTTATTTCAACATTTCTTCCGCGTTTTCTCCTCGTTCTGATTGTATGCAAATAAATGAAATGTTCTGAGTTGGCGTTTAAACCCACGTCGAATTTCATGCTTCGTGAAGGACAAACTCAAAAACAACTTATAAATGACAAGTGTACCCGCATCTTAAATATTCTTTCTGTTTACAAAAAATCGCAATGAACAAAAGGTTTATGTCTCTAAGGATTGACGGTGCCATTCTAGGTATCGTAAGAAAATAGCCAGGAAATAAGAAAACTCATTGCCCACTTATTTCACTCGTTTAACCCGTAATAGTTTTTCCAGTGTGTTTACCTTCCTGCGGGTTGTTGACGCAACGCACACCGTTCCCGGGGCAGTAATAGCGCACGAAAAGTGTAATAACGTAAAGACTCACTTGTGATTGATGATTAGCCAAAGATGTCGAAGGGGAAGCGGCTGCTGCGGCGGCGGATGTGTACGATTGCGCTGAAGAAGAGGCGGCCGCTGCGCTGGCGGCGTGGGGCTGGTGAGAGGGTGATGTGTTACTACTGGAGGGATTCGATCTCTGTCGCAGTCGGGCTAGGGCGGTCCGCAGTCCCTCCGTTATAGAGCTCTCGCCGACCCCGCTGAAAAACAATAAAGCATTCTATTATATATAATTTAACAACCAATTTCAAACAGTCATCGATAGAGGTCGCCAGATAATACATCATCTGTCAAAATGATAAATTGGAGGTTATATCTTTTTCGGAAGAAAACTTTTTAAAAATCTGTTTGATATGCTATGGAAGTTTGGTAAAAGTTTTCTTTTCTTAGAATAGGCAACACTTTTTGTTTCTCGAACACTTCATTCTTTTTGAAGAGTCATGCCTTAACAAAGCTTTTTGTGAATATAGAAAAAAGAAACCTTTAAGCAACATGTCAAATTCGTCCACTAAACAAGACTCTCCAACAAAAAAAAAATCCAAAGGTCCTGTAGTCGATCCCAAGTGATATTCACCGACTAGACGTTTTCCTCGTTAAACGTACACTGCTCACGGTTGGGTAGTAAAAACAAATCACAAAAAGTGCAACACAAATATACCGAAACAGACTGGTGCTGATTCAGAGTGCAGAGACATCTTACGAATTTTACGAGATTGCGTAAAGCATCGAGATTTGAGATTGTGTGGCGAGTCCCAAACGTGACGAACGAAATTGCATCAAGCAAAGGGCGGCAAGCAGGAATGCAGCATGTAGAAGCAACGGAAACAAATTGCATTGAGTGCATGAACATTGTAGGGCCGTAGACAATAAGAGTGTGGAAGGAATGCTCTCGACATGAAACGTAGCGGATAAGCATCTTAATCCCTATTTTCAATAAAAGCGAAGGGTATGCACAGTCTGCACATACAAATGTCTGTCTGCTCCTAGTGGAGTATACCAATTGCATTGTCCTTTGTCCTTTGGCGTGGTTATCTTCATCTAGATCTTGATGTACTTTTACAGCATTGAATAGGCACACTTAGACACTCATTTATCTTTAGTGAATCTTTCAGTGTTGCTTTAAGCTGATAATCTAGTATTCAATTAATTGATAAGTAAATTAAACCATTTTTAATTATTCGAATGGAAAATCATTTTACTAAAGTTGGAGAAATTCTCCTTTTTATCAAGTTAAACTAAATTTGTTTTAATTTTTATTTTATTGCTTTTCTTATGGTCCTCTTGGATTCAATTACAAATTTCTTGAATAGCTGGCAATTATAACCAAGAAACCAAGTTAATCTGCAATATTTAAGGTTATGAACCTTTCCTAAACTTTACCACTTTCCTTCTCAATAAAAGTACCAAAAATAAATTAAAAAATACTTTAACCTTATCAAGGCAACTCAAAATCATTAAGATTCTAGATTAAGATCCCCGAGTATTGACGAGCGGATGTGCTGGAGGCCTGCAGATGAAGGCTGTTGATAAAGTGGAAAGCAACACAGTATCGCCCACGCTTCCTACGTCAACGTGGAACTCTTTAACGTCACTGAAGCAAATAAGTCATTAGCAGGCGTGGAACGTGTGTGTTCGCAAGTTGCGCTTTCGCATTCGGCAAGAAGCCATTCAAGCCAAACATTCCTAACCTAAATAAGCCAAGTATCTAAGCAGGCATACACATTTAAGTTAATAACGCAGTCGAGTGTGAACCAAGGAGAGCAAACGCAAGTGAGCAACGTCCCTACTCGTGTGCTGTTTGTCATCAATAGCTTCAGAGTACTCAACTCGACACTGTGACTTCGCAAAGACGCATATTATGCACAAGGCGGTTCTACTTCTGAGTTAGTTAAAGAGATATGCATAATGGAAGGTAGAAAGCAGGCGACAGCAAACATGTTGAAAACCTTAGCAAATACCAAGTTTCAGTGTGACGTTTTCCACTTGTATATCGAATTTAACATTAAACCCACCGGAACATGATGGCCCAGGAGGCCCACAAGCTGAGTGTGGCCATTGTGAAAACGCATACGCGACAAGCGTGAGGCAATCGATAAACAATTTCAACCGTCCCCACCATCTCCCTCCTCCTTCTCAATTGAAGCTAATCGAGTGACAAAATGCCTCGTTTATTTTTATTTGCGTCGCCCTGATCAAACACTCCAAACAGTTAAAAATTTACGAGGATTGAATAAAACGACACCCTATACATCAACCTAAAGCATGGTATAAGTAATTATTTGTTGGTTAAACCGAAGAATTCCCGATTGTTACATGCAAATTACAACCTATTAACAACTATAGGAAAATAGGATATTTATAGAGAAATATTATGTTGTAAACATGATAAATTGCTGTGTTGCCTGACTTCTATACACAATAACAACATTAGTGACAAGCCTTTGAGAACAGAATCATATTTTACTTACAAGCATAAATTTACGCTCGGAACAACAATGAAATTACTGCTGAATACATAATACGCATTGTTATTTATTGCTTTTCAATATTATAATTAATTTAATTAAATGGTAGAATCACATGTAGGTGTTGATAATAATAACATCCATCCATATTTCATAAATTAAATTATTTCATAAATTATGTTAGATATAAATGGATCTATTTTAGTAAAAAAGCTCTATCATTAGAAGTTCAAGTAAATAATTTATAAGTCTAACAACATGAATAAAGTTGTTTCGTCGTTTTACACATAATACAGCAAAAAATTATGAGAAAAACCGCGCGAATGTAAAAAAGATGATAAATGCAACAAATTGCGCAAGTTAAAAACAAGCTTAAAAACCTGCAGCATAATTAATGAGCGGTATTAAACAAATGAGAGTTCGTAAAAATGAGAAACTCATTAAATAATTGGAAACACGAGTAAGTTTCTTTTGAATACACGTGCCCTCAAAGAAAATTACCTTTGTTAACATTATTCATGTTGATATTTGTAGTTGTGAATTCTAATTTATGACTTGTAATAAATATAATAATCCCGGTGTCATTATACGTAATAATTTTGCGTTCGTAGATTTTTATGGTACATTTGGGTGAATTGTGCGCAATTCTGCACAACTACCATGTATTGAAATGATCGAAATCCAGTCGTGTTCAATTCACCGCTGTGTTGGAGCCTGAAAAAGTTAGCCTCTTGTTGGTTGTGCGAGTTGTGTAGTGCATCGAATTTCAGCGAGCGCTGCGATTTAAATGGAAATTTTTCCTTTATAGTATACCGAGTGAAGTATGATGCCGAACACAACTTGAACCTTCGCACGCGAATATCTATATTATTTGTATGTCTGTTGGGTTTTTGCTACGCTCGTTTGTATTTGTTGTTTTTTTGAACAAAAGGAAAATCTGCTTTGTTTTGTTTACTGTATTGCGAATTCTGGTTATCGAGGCTACAATATTTCGCAACATTCAATTGAACTCATTTATTCCACGAGTTTTTTTGTTGCTGGTTGCAAAAAATAATAGTTTTTACATTCATTTTACAGTTGTCAATGCATACAGTGTTACTTTATCGGAAAACAATATATTTTTTTCATTATTTGTACTTTTTTCAATCAAATAAATATTTTATACAATAGAATGTATTTATCTTTTCTATTTAATATCAATTAAGGATGAATTAAATTGAAAAACAACATTCCATCAAAATCAAATTTATTTCCTGTTGTTTTATGCATCAATAAATTTAATAACATAAAAATGTTGTAAACATTATTTAAACCTTTTGTAGAATTTACAATTGTGTGAATTGTAAAAATGCAGAATAACAAATTTCTAAAGTGCTTCTCATTTTATATTTTCACAACAAACGCAAAAATATTGCGTTATTATTAAAACCAAATATATGCTAACCTAATAGCCAAAAAATCAAATTTGAATACAATATTCACCCATTTAGACATTGAATAATTTATCAAACTTCAACTTTGCTTAAAAAATCCAACACATGATATGATGTGTGATGTGTATCATACGCTTGACGAGCACAAAATTGCTCGCTTTTATTTATGCATTTGCCAAGCTGAAACACTGTTTCGAATCTGCATTCATCCCGGTCGCCGGCGAACATGACACTTTCATCTTTCAACTTTCAACTTCCAACTTTGCCGAATAATGCATAATAAACTAGAGGCGTGTTATAAACGATTTTGGCTGTCAGAGTCGGCCGTGAAATGTGCGCAAAACAAAGAAAAGCCCCATATTATATTTATCATCCAGATTCTCCGAAGCACCACGAATAGACCAAAGTAGTTCGAAATCCCAACTGCGCTTTCTTGGAATTTCTTTATTCGCTGCGCGAATGCAAATGTAAACATAAAACATTGGCAACAAGAAGCGTATCAAGAAAACTGAAAAATGCGAACACTAATATAATACTTTACGGAGTTTTTCGCATTGTCGGCGGTCCCCAGCACGTAAGAGATGTGTGCAATTTGTGCATACGCAAATAGCCAGCCGGGTAAACATGGAAGCAATAAAGAATAGATGAATCTGAATATAAGACGTCGGGTGTAAGCGTAACTGTTACGTTAATAATTCACTTTTGAATACATTCACGTTTCCTTTGCTTAATAATTTCGGTTTCATATTGTAAGCGGATGAAAAATGTGATCGTCAACTCCGGCTTTAACATAAATATACGAATATATTCGGTATGTAAAGTTGTCAGATTAAAATATGGCCGTATATTTTTCAGTTATTTGTGAATTTTATGACAGAAAGAATTTTCGCAGAAATGTATAAACATGCCACAGCTGCATGTGAAATTTAATTGCGCCGAAGACCTTTTAGCGCGTGCCGAAACTTAAATTGAATTCGAAAGAAGCGAAAATATCCAATATCGCCAACACTCACCGGCGGTTTCGCCGAATTGGCGATGAAAAGCCACAGCGAAAACCGATTAAAACCGATAGAGAGTTTCACAGTTTGGCGCACCGCAAACAGAATTGGGAAAACAGTTCTAGTGCGGTTGGAATACAAACAAACCGAAGAATTTATATTCAAACTGAAATAAATTTCAATGTAAACTTTGCCACAGTTTGATTATAAAATAACATATATAAACGATAAATAAATGCCTGTCGTCCCGCTGAGCGTCGCACGATTTGGGAATACGCCAAACGCCGGAAAACAGCCAATCGAACATCGAACACATGGCGAATCGGAAAAAAGGTGACGCAAGACCCAAGGGACTACTCACCCGGTTTGAAGTACGATGAATTTCTTGTCGCTGTCGTCGGCATTGTTCTCACGCGGTGAGCACTTTTTGATTTCGAATACCGTATAGAACTTCGTCTTAGCAAATTTAAAGAAACCACGTTACCAAAACAAAAAAGAAAAACGCAAAAATTGCAACAAAAAATGTAAAATTTTCCTCCGTTCAAATTTATCCCATGAAATGTGTCTCGTGTAAAATTTCGGGCGTGAATCTGACAGACAAGAGTTCACTAGACGAGGCGCTCAAGTGACACACATAGAAAACACGTAAACACCCCGTTTTCACCACGTTTCCACCCGCCAGTCAGTCAGTAGTCATTCAAATGATAATTGGAAATAAATCCGTCACGTGTGCGTTAAGTTTATTTCGATATTTTTCTTTGTATCCAAACTAATGATATTAACGTAATTATTAATTAGTAATTATATAGTTATATTGTTAAACATTTAAAGGGTAAAACTTAATGCTTGGTATCAAAATATTTTGAGTTTGTACGGTTTGGTTTTAATTGATAACTGTGGCTAATAGGTTAGTGAAGATGTGTTTATTGGTGCGTTACGATTTTGTTTCACATTTCTCTCTGTCTATGAGTTGCGGTCGTGCGTCGGGAACATTGCTGCGCGTTGTGGAGGCAACCCTGCGGTGTGCCCGACGTGTACTGGCGGCAGCAAACGGCGGCAGCGACCCCGAACACGTCGCCCGACGTACACAAACGCATGCGTATTACTCGCCGCCTCCGCCGCCACCGCCGCACACGACAATACCAATGCGTAACGCGAAAAAATTCACAACACCAACAGCGCCATCGCGACGCCGCCGCCGTAGTTCCGTATCGATCGCAACTTGTAACCTACCTACACCGAGTTCAACCAAAGTCGGTGGCGGGTGTGGAAAATTTCGTCTCTCGTCGTGTTCGACATAATGTCAACGCGCTATCGCGTTCGTCCTGCTGAATCTAACTGGAATTTAAGTCCAGGATCACATCCAGTTCTTACCTCTCGCAATCATGCCATTCGAAACTGTTGAAGTTGAAGTAAAGCCGGTGAGTTGGCACAACAAGTTCTTTGTTTGTTTCGTGCTGTGCATTATATCAATGGGGTTTATGTTTGTAATAGAATCTACTAGCGCTCATTGTAGTGCGCTGCAGCGTCGTTTCTTGACACCGCGCGAACACAATGGGTCACTAGCAGACGTACAAGACTTGGACGCCGCCGTCAGGATGGGCAGCGCCTCCTCCAAGTTCAAGAAGTATTTGCAGAATGGCGACGAGTTTGCCGCGATGCAGATATATCAGAATTCGCCGGAGTTGAGGAAGAATCTCGATCCGAATCTCAGCTACGGTGATCATCATCATCACAATACGGCGCTTCATTATGCTGCCAAACATGGTAACACATACAAAACAATTTAGGTAAATGTAGAACTTTGTTTAACAATGTGTTGTAATGGTTATATAGGAATGAAACATCTACTACGAACATTTCTCAATGATCTCGGCGGAAATCCGAATAAACGTAACGCCGCGAACGAGACGGTCCTCCATTGTGCCTGCAACCTCAATCAAACGAAGAGCTTCAGCGCGCAGGAACGTCGCGCCGCCTGCGTGCAAATCGTTCTCTTCTGGAAAGGCGCCCCCATTTCCGGTAACAATGGCAGTAATGGCAACAATCGAGAGAAAGCTGATCTTGCTGCAACTGATCTCGACGGCAATACGCCTTTGCATTGTGCTGCTACGGCTGGTCTTAAACGTTGCGTGGAATTGTTGCTCACTCACAGCGCTCCGTTATTCAACGAAAACAATGACAAGCTAACACCATGTGACTTGGCTATGAAGGGTGCGCATCACGACATTGCGAGACTATTAGAAAGTCGAATGGTGTTTACCGAGAGTACTGGTGGAGGCGCCGGGGAAGATTCTATTAATGAGGATGAAAATTTAAACGAGCAAGAAATCTACAGTGGTCTTCGAAGCCAAGATTTACAGGAAGCCAAGGATCAATTGCTCGTGGACACGTCCGATATGCTCAAGATACCGCTTTTCACTGCCGAAGCCCTTTTGAGGGATAATGGTATTTAAATCGTAACTTAAACTGTAATGGAATTTATTATAATAATTTATTTCAGAATGGTCAAGAGAAATTTTATTAGAAAAATGGATGAAAGATCCCGTGCAATGTTGTCAGGAAGCCGGGGTCAAACCTCCTCCGTCGATTTCAATAGGTTGTGGCGACATGTCGCCGGAAAGTGTTCCTTCCGATGATAAAACAGATGTTCAACCGGAAATAATGGTACTATCTGTATATTGATACTAACTTATGCAGTTTTTATAACTTTGTTTCTATTTAAGTGCGAAATATGTTGTCTGAGCATAAGTAACTGGGACCAATCACTGCAAATGTCATGCCGGCATGCGTTCTGTGCACACTGCTGGGAGACATATCTTACGAACAAAATTCAAGATGGCGACGCGCATCACATTCTTTGCCCGGCATATCAGTGCCATATTTTGGTGCCAGTCGAACTGATCGAGAAATTCGTGCGACCTGCGATTGCCAAACGTTATTTACAATTCGATATCAAAGCGTTTGTTGAGAGTAACAAAACAATAAAATGGTGCCCAATGGCCGGTTGTGGAAGAGCAGTACGGTTACCGGAAGCAGAACATGTTAATGCTACACGTGGACGGTGTTTAAGCGGGAAACAACGTCAAGAAACATCTCATGCGGTTGATTGTGGCAATGCACACTTTTTCTGCTGGGAGTGCCTTGGTGATGCGCACGCACCATGTGGTTGCAATCAGTGGCAGGAGTGGCAGATGAAAATCGCTGAGGTTAAACCAGAGGAATTACAAGCGTCTTGCAGTGGAAGTGAAGAAGCCGCTAATTTGTTGTGGTTGGTTACCAATTCAAAACCGTGTCCGAATTGTAAAAGTCCCATTCAAAAGAACGAAGGTTGTAATCACATGAAGTGTTCTAAGGTATGTTCTTAGATTATATCTACTTAAAATATAACAAACCTTATGATGTATTATTATGTCTAGTGTAAATTTGACTTCTGTTGGGTATGCCAAGAATCCTGGAAACAACATAGTTCAGCCACCGGAGGTTATTTCCGCTGTAATCGTTTTGAGGCAACTCAGAAAGCAGATGAAAAGCAAGGTTGTCTTATAACTGAAGCAATGGATCGCAACAATCAAATGCAGGAAGTTTCGCGTTTCTTACATTTTTATATGCGCTACAAAAATCACGAAAACAGCCAGAAACTCGAAGAACCTTTGCTGGCAGGCGTGCGCCAAAAGATGGAGATATTAGCCTCAACTTTGGGTCTTAAACAGAGCACCAAATTCATTGAAGAAGGCATTCGGGAACTTCTCAAAGCTCGCCGCGTTCTATGCGGATCATATGTTTATGGTTATTACTTAGAAGATGATGGTTATAACAAAACCATTTTTGAATTTATGCAGGTAATAATAGTTTGAAAAAATAAGGTTTTAAAAAAAGTAACGTTTGTGGTTTTTAGAACGAGTTGGAAGAAATCACCGAGAAACTGAGTGAAATGATCGCGCGTCCATATTTGAAGACGCCGAAGGCTGTGATTATACAAACGACTGCGTTGGCGCGTCGGAAGCGCCACGAGTTCATTCGTGCCGTTGCACAGGGTTTAATTCCCCCGGAAACGCCACCCAATGAAAGAAAAAACAAAAAACGCAAATATTTAGATGTAATTATTTATAATTTTTATATTTTTTAATCAATTAACTTGATTTCTTTAAATTTAGATTGACTTAAGTCACACGAGTGCCTGGCTACGTGAACGTCAATGGCCAGAATATGATTCGGATACCGAAGAGGGTGACGTTGGAATCAACAATAGCCAATCATCTAATGGTAAATTGAATACCAGTAATTATTATTTTATTACTATCAACTATTTATATATGTTCAGATGATTACAACGTAGAATTGGTAATAGCACTCGAAATGTCCCGTCTACAAATGATCGAAGACCGTATGAAGCAACAACAAAATAAACAAAATCGTGAAGAACTTACCATCTCGCCAAAACCTTTCAACAAAGAACAAACTACTGACGATCAACTCAAACTCGCGATTCAACTATCTTTACAGGAAACGAATGACGCAAACGGCAACGCTAACGACAATGCCAACACAACTTATCAAAAAACAAATGCGGACTTGACTGTCGATTGTTTTCTGAAATCACTAGCAAATCATAAATTTGACCTGCGTAGTATTGGCAGCGATCACTGGGGTCGCAAAGAACGTGATACTTTACTCTTCAAACCATGCATTGGAAAAGAAGATGGCCGCTTTCGAATATCGGATATTCATGAACATGGATTCGGTTTACTAGACACAGATGATTACTACGAGGAGCAAGTGGATGATGTAAGCACTTTACGTAGATCACGATCTACAGGAGATTTATTTGTGCGTAGATCAAGTCGTACCAGGATCAGAATTAATAACGAACCACGTTATCATTTAGATTCTGACCATAGCAGTCAACATGATGATAAACCGGAAGATGTTGGTCGTCGGTTAGGAAAACCAAATGTGGGCAAGAGTAAACAACAAATACTCATGTCCAACATGCATCATCATACTGTGTTCTCAGAAGAAGAATATTATCAAGGACAAAGTTCAGTTGAAGATACAACTACTTCTGATTCTATCAATGTCGACATGGAGGTGTGTAACATTCTAGAGTCAGTTGATGAAGTCAATCAGGACTCCATGGAGAGTGGTGATCAGAAAGATGTTAAGACATATTCTGATGAAGAGTATAATCTTTATGTGAATCTGATCAAAAGTAAGGGCAAAAGTAAGACTGACGACGTATCCAGGGCGACGACCAGTAAACTTGCCAATGCCTTGAAGACTAAACTGTGTACCGCACATAATCTTCAAAAGACCAGCTATCTGACTCGTATTGCAGTGACCAAAAATATTGGATTGCTGCAAAATAAAAACGATGCCAATCAAAATGACATTGGGACGTTAACAGCTCAAAATGAATCAAACAAAAATCTAAGAATTAATATTAGCGAGAAGGATCGCAAAAAGGCCGGAAGTGGTACCAGTACATTGGAAACAGATAGTTCCAATGAATATGAATCAGAAACTGGTATACCCAAGTCACCCACATTGTATATTTCTGGCGTTTCAATATCACGAACTCCAGAACCAAAATCCCCTGGAATTTCGATTGTTGCTGGTAGGCAGTCGCGGTCGTCAAGCTTAAGTGTCCCTAGTAAACCCTTAACTGCTGCATTGAGTGTGTCCAGCACAAGTTTGATTGATACACCTTCATGTGTAACGATGGATCAAGGTGCTCCTCTCTCCAGTCCAGCCAAAACTAAAGAACCATCCACTCCTAGCTCCAACGGTACGGCTGCCAGCACCGGAAGTAAATCAAAAAGTGCTAGTGAACCAGAACGCGAACGTGAAATGTTTTGCTTTCCAAAATCATCGACTGATGGTGCCCTCAGCTCGGTACTTCATGTTCAGGAATCTAATCTGAGTTCCGATGATTTTCATGAAGCGTTGTTTCTGTTAGAACGTTCGCCAAAAACAAGAGATTCGTCTAAAAGACGCAAAAAATCGAAAAAGAAAGAAAAGGATATCAAAGACAAAACTGAGCCAGTGGA